TATTTAGGCCCAGAGCTGAATTCTATAGGAGACAAGAGACAGGACACAGGCTATCTCTAGTGGGTTAGAGGAGAAGATAGTGAGATAGGCGGTGAAAGCAAGGGAAATAGCCAAGACAGAACTGCAGCTTTCCAAGGCTGCCTCCTGCTGGCTCTTTGTGTAAATGCAGGTAGAAGTAGCTGTTCTATGCCACTGCCTTAGCCAGTGGCCTAAATAATGTCTCTTCTTTGAAACAGGCCTTAGTTTGGCTTCTATGTTACAAGGGACCCTGAAGCAGGAGAGGACTTTGGTAAATGTGGTCACTCATCATTGACCCCCTCATCTTCCTACCAATAGAGCCTGTGTTCCCAATCTTTATACCCTAGGAACCCTCTGGGATCACTTCTTTATTCCAAAGCACCCCAGTCACATCCTGATCCCCAGCTTCTCCTAGCTTCACTTAAGGGTTCCAGGTCTAACAAGTGAGTTTGGGTTAGGGTAAGTCTACCCCTAACCCAAAATCACACTCTATCCTTCATCTTTAGCAACATCCTGGTATCCTTTCACCTACACACCTCTGATCTTCAGCCAGTTCTAACACCACCACCACCCCACCTGCACCCCCGCACTTAATATCCTAAAGTAAATATTTTGAACTTCTAGAGGGCATCACAGCCAACTCTGGAAACTGTGGAACTTAGCCAATTCCTTCCCATGTCCCTCTGGGGATTGGAATCAGAGCCACCAGGATTTAAGGGACATGCTAGAGTCTGTTGCCAGGCTCCCCAAGGTCACTGGGCACCGGGTACTAGCTAGGCCAGAGTGCAATGGGAAGGAGATAGAATAGTGCCCACTCATCTGGGTATGATATGGATGCTGGGTCCTGGAACTGAAGAGTGGATGCTTCCTAAGAAACCAGAAACATAGGTTGGCTCTGGTCTAACTTCTCACCCACCCAAGCTCACCTGCCCCTGAATTCTGCCCATCCAAATCTCCACTAGTACTCTCCTTCCCTTCCTAATACTGAGGAATACATTTCAGGACTGGAAGAGCCCTCAGGTCATCTGAGCCAATCCATTTTTTACTAGAATATCTTCTGTGCATCTGGGCCACTGCTTGCGTACATCTTATAACAAGAAATCTTTGCTTCCCTCTTTCCATATGGTCACCTCAAACTCAGGGCCATCAGGTAAAGCCACAGGTTAGCAGAGAGCTCCATGTCAACTCTGAAAGGGCTCAGCTTTGAAAGGGCTGCCATGAAAGGGCCTAGAAGGGATAGACGGGTTGGAGGCATCTATAGCATTTCTAGAGGCCCAAGTCCTGGGCCTGGGGGAAATCATTGCAGTAAAGCTCTCTTCTTGGGCTGCAGTTAAGATGCCCTCGGCAGTTTGAGCTGGGATGGAGAAAAGTATAAGAGGGATCTGGGAGGAGGAATCTTCCTGCCTCTTCTCTCCAGAGGAGCGGGGCACCTTGAGCTGGCCTGGGAGACCTCACTAAAGGTCACGGTGGTAAAAATAGAGCTTGTCTGGGCAGGGATGGAAAACAGCTGCTACTGCCTGGGACTTGGAGCCAGGAAGGAGGATGGTCAAGCCAGGACCTGGACAGGGAACTTAGGCCTAGGATCTTCTGAACATACCCCTCATTTGCCAGACTCCAGAGAGGAGAGCCAGGAAGGGAGGGAGTATGGAACCCTGGAATGCATCAACTCTTCCAAGGCCAGGGGCCTGTGTGTGGGGGGGGGGGTTATTTAGACTTTTGGAGATTGCTTTGGCCAAAGCCTCATTGGAAAAGCTGAGGGTCAGACAGAGGAAGGGTCTTTCCCAGGTTCACACAAGGACTCCTTTTAGCCTTCTCAGATTGAATGATATCGTTAGAGCTAGAACCCAAGCTTGGATCACTACTCCACGCCCAGAGCTCTGGCCCCTGACCCCTTATCTCTGGGGCTGTCCAAACGGGCCAGACCCTTTGGGGATGTGGTGCTGAGATATCCCAAGGTTGATAGGCCCTCCCGGGATGGGAAGGGGGAGGCTTTAGGTGGTGCAGGAGGCCTCGGTGGGGAGGTGCGCACGCTTGAGCCTCAGGGG